GGGCCTCAGGGCTTTCGGATGGTAGTGACCTGATACCTCTGACCAAGCTGTCGCAAACATAGGTTGCTGAACTATTTAACTCGAACCTTTACGAGCCTCCATCCTAAAGCCCTGATTCCAAGAATACTCCTAAACCCTGAACCCTAAACCCTAAACCCTGAACCCTAAACCCTAAACCCTGAGCAAACCCTTGGCCCGACAAGTCCTGAGAAACTGTGCCGATGCTCCAAACGGTACGATGACTCCAAATTTTCCCTAACCCCCCAGGTACCTACTATTTAGGGTTTAGGGTTTAGGGTTCCTTAACCCCCAGGTACCTACTATATAGGGTACTAGAGCCCCTAGGGCCCTATATAGTAGGTACCTGGAGGGTTAGGGTTTGGATGTCTTGAACTTGACCTGCGCCCTTCTATGGCTTAAGGCTCAGGGGGCTCATGCAGGTAACGACCTGAAAAGTAGGAGTCAAAGGGCAAACTTTGAGATAAACACAGATTGCGCGTCAACAGCTGCGATCCTAGTGACCTAGTGACCTCGGCAACTACTAAGCACGTTCCTCCTACATCTGCATAGTTATATGCACACACATCTTCAAGTATGTACCTGCATACACACCTACGTACCTGCCGGCACACCTACCTACAGACCTACATTCACACACATACACATGCACAGACTGACACACAGGTACATAGATACATAGGCACGAAGATACATACATACGTACATACATGCATAAACGCATACATGGATACATGCACACAGGTTCATACAGGCGTACATGCACCCCCAAACATGTTACATACACATGTAATACTAACACAGCATAACATAGCATAGCATAACATAACCTAACCAAGCCTGACATGACAAAATCTGACCTAGCTTGACATGACCTAACATAAGCGCATGCAGCAATACATGCACAAAACGCACACACACACACAGAGACATACACAGAGATGCACTACAGTAATCCTACCACTTCACCTGCTCGTTGAACTGAATGGGCTCAGCACATCACTCCTTCCATAGTCTAGAATCCCCGAGCCATCATGCACATGTGGATGCCACTGCAAACCTGAATCCTTGAACCCCTAAAGCCCTAAACACCTACAATCCCAAGACCCATTCCCAGTGTCTGCGGCTCCGAAAAGCTTCGAATGGCTCGAACACACGTGCAGAATGGGAAATAAGCGGCGAGTTTAGGGCTTACCTGGGCCCTGAATAAGCTACCTTCTGAGGACCTGTACAAGGAAATCATACTCAGGAACCCAAGAAAAGGCAGATTCTTTAGGGTCCAGGTATGGCTTAGGGTTATATTGCAAGCCAGAAACTTTGACGGCTCTCTAATTACTGTGACTGTTTAGCTAAAGAAAAGAAGAGCTAAGATTCTTGCTCGGTTACTTCTATTGCACCCCCTGGATCCCAACAAAGACTTGAAAACCAACTCTTGACCCTGCAATGCATCAAACAGACGCTCGAGAATTCTAGGGCAAATTCGGAAAGGGTTTTGGATTCCAATATGGAGCCGCGAACCCTCACGAAACAAAGCCAACGCCCACAGCCAAGCGCACTTCAACGTCAGCAAAGTTCAAATCAGAATACCGGAAGCTTTGATCCAAACTCGACATCCTAAACCCGAAACCCCAAACCCTAAACCTTGTTCGTCGAAGCACGGTAGATGTCGATGTGGTGGTGGTCGAAGTGGTCGTGGACGTGAGGGTAGAAGTTGTAGTCGTTGACTCGGGATCAAGACATATCAGCACAAAGTTCAAAGAACCCTAAACCCTAGGCCCTAAACCCTAAACCCTGGGCCCTAGGCCCTGAATCCTAAATGCTAAGCGCTAAACCCTAAACCCTAAACCCCAGGCCGAGGCCCTCAACGATTGGAGCGAGTCTTTAGCTGCCCTGAGCCTGGCATGCTGTCGCGAATCCTGAAACTGACGCAGATGCACTGCTTTGGAACATGCTGACGCCTGAGACCTACCAGAATTATGTTGAAGCTTCTATGTGAATCCAACACATACTAGATCCTATACACTCTAAACCCTGGGACCTACAGTTGTTCTATTTCTGTCAATTTCAGGCCATCAATCAATCCACACTCCCCGGATGCGTTATAGGCTGTTCGGAAGCTGAGCTTCGTGTGGGGCTCTTAGTATGTAACTGTGTTTTAGAGTCACTACAGAGAACAGAGAATAGAAAACAGATACAAGATAACACTAAAACAATAAAACAAAGAGTGCATCAAAAAAGTAGGCTCAAGGTGCAATGACGACTTGTTCAGTCTGTAGGACTGAGTAAGGCCCGCTTCTTTCGGGGACTTCAACAGTCTTGAAATTATGAATGTCGGCAAGGATCTCTCGATGAGCACTGCATCCTGCAAGACCCGACCCCAAGCTGTACAAAGCTGACATGTCCTTTAACGACCGTTTTAGAAATACATGCCCGGTAATAAAGTTTCGTCGCATCCGCTTAGAAACACTAAGCGGAGTACGCG